AATTGGTTATTTAGGAGAATACTGTCTAACTTTGAAGTAGTTGGGCATTTTCTAATTAGCTGTTTGTGATTCATTTGTATCTTATTTGCACTCTGAACAGAAAATATGCTCTTAATGACTTCTGTCTTTTGACATTCAGTGAAGCTTTTTTATGACTCAATGCATCATCAATTATGGTAAAGGTTTACCTTGCACTTGAAAAGAATATGAATTTGAATGTTGTTTGATATGATGTTTTATATACGTCACTTAAGTTGTACAGATATGCTAAGTTCTTAATGATAATAACAGATTTCTATTTCTCTGGTTAGCTCTTTCAATGTCTGCTTTATTTTTAAACTATATTATTGGGTCCATGCAAGTTTAGGATTGCAATAACCTCCTGAACTTACTCATTTATCATCATAAAATGACTCTCAATCTCTGACAATGAAATTGTGCCTTAAAAACTATTTTATGTGATAGTAACACGGCTATACTAGCTCTCTTTTTTTCTACTCTAAATGAATTTGTGTCCTTATATTTAAAGTGTACCCCTTGTAGTCAGCATATATTTAGATTTTTGTTTTCTAGTCTCACTGTCATAGCTTTTTACTGATAATATTTAGTCCATTTACATTTAATTTAATTAATGATATAATTGGGTTTATATGTACCATCTTACTCTTTGTTTTCTAGTTGACTTATCTGATTTATGTCTTTCTTCATTTCTTTCCTTCTTTTGGAATCTTATATGCATGTTGGCTATTTTTACTGTGCCCTACATATCTATGTAATTCATCCCTATATTTCACTCTTCTTTCTATGCTTTATTTTTATTATTAGAATAGATTAATTAAAATAGATAATTTGTATTAACTTGTCTTCTAATTCTTTAATCCTGTCTTGTTATGTGTCTAATCTATGTTAAAATCCATCCATTAGGTACTTGATTTATATTCTAATTTTTATTTCTGAAATTTCTGTTTTTGTTTTTCTAGATTCTAGGCCTGTGGTAAATTTTTCTATTACTCTCTACTTCTTCATTTTATTCTATTATCCTAAATATGAAAGACTATATCTCTTAATTACAATACTAGACCACCTGTGAGTCTACTTCTATTCTCTGATATTTCTCTTGGAGTTTGGTTATCAGATCATGCTTCTTGGCATACTCAACAATTTTCATTTGCATAACAGACATTATGACTCCCAAATATTGTGTCTTTCACCATAGAAAGTTCAACAATTTTTTGCTAGATACAATAAGTCAAAGTGAAGGGTGAGCTTCGTTATCCAACTGGGACTGAGCTATAATGGCTAAGTTGCAGTTCTGCTAAGATTTAATCTATCTTTAACTCAACTCACTGGATCTTTTTTTTTTTTGGTATGGGGGTTGAATTCAGGACCTTGTGCTTGCGAGGCAGGTGGCGGCACCACTGAGCTAAGTACCCAGCCCAGTACTCAAGGGCTTTTAGCTGAATCTGATGAGTCTTTGATCATGAGAACCAAGGAACTTTGGGACAGCCCTTCTGTTTTTAAGCTTAGATTCATTAGTCTCATACTTAGCTGCAGAATTTGGCAAATATCTTGAAGAATTAAAAAAAATAATATGTTTGTGGCCTTTCAAGTATTTAATATTTGTATCCAGCCTTGTGCAACTCCAAAATTTTTATTTGACTTTTATTTGAATTTCAGCAGTAACTTTCTACTTCAGCCAACCAACATTTTCAGTGAAGGCCCGGAATGGACAAAATTCTTTAAAAAGAGAGAGAGAGAGAAAGAGTAAAGGTAGTCAGCACATCAGTAAGAGGGTCTCTCTTGTCCAGAATTTAGTAGTCTTATTCTTCATTTCTTTTTAAAGTACATGGATGGTGTGTGTGCGTGCGCGTGTGTGCGCGCGTGTGTGTGTGATATCAGTCTTTTCTGATTGCTTTCAACAATAACACAAGGTAGATCCAAACTATCCCTTCTACCCTGTAGTGTAGAAGTCCTTAGTCTCTGTTGAGAAAGTAGAGAAAGCTGCACTCTTAATTACTTTACTCCTTGGCAAGGATTTTGAATCTCTAAATTCCATCTGAAGAGTTTTTGTTTCTTCTTTGGTGGTTTTATGGAGGAAGAAGTATGTCAGGGCTAATACTCATTTTCTTTTAATCCTGTTTGTTTAAAAGCCAAGGCCAACATGAAGTGGCAAAGTTGAAAGCCCTTTTACGGTTTGAAACCTAGCCAAGCACAGGATAAATATAAAAAGGAGCAAGTCAAATGAACATAAAGCAAGCAGGCAAGAAATCTGCAGAACACGGTGACTTGTGTAATGTTCACTTTCAATGTCAAACAGAAACCGTCAGTCGCATTAACTAAATGTCAAATGGAGTGGTTGAGAACACAATGGGCTTCTTAAATATACTACACCCATCATTTGCCCACTTTTTCTACAAGAGAAAGTTATTCATAAAAACTACTTTCTCATCATACATTCATTCTGATCTGAATTTCATTAGGATATGAAAATTACATAGAGTAAAATACTTCCTATGAATATTATCTCTCTCAGGATGTTATTTTGAAATTATTTATCACATTTTAAATGGGAAACTAACCCTTTCCTTCAAATATTTAAAGATGTGCAATGAACTTTAGAATGATGTATTAAATTGTTCCTAATATAAATAAATACAGCCATGTTTTATTTTCATATATAATCAATAATAATATATGATTAATGTCAGTATAATACTAAGTATTGTTAAATGCTTGACAATCTTCTGAAAGATCCAGTACTTACTACTTAATGTCCCATCTTGTTGAATCATCACAACAGCTCTGAGAGTGGGCGTCCTGGACCTAATATTACAGATGAGGAAACTGAGGATAGGTTTATATCCAGGTCTGTCTGATTCGAAGATCACAATTTCCCATGTCATCTCTCTCTGTCTACCACAAACTTTAAAACCCTTATGAGTTCTCCCCATCCCTGCTTTTTCTTTAAAGATAGCCCTTCTGTCCTTACTTTCTTACTGTACCTGGTGGCCTAACCAGATCCTTTACTGTCCAATAACCTAGATTCTAATGAAAGAAACTGTGTTAATCCAATCAGTGGTTAAGACTAGGTCTGTTGGGCTGCATTTAGTGATTGATTACTCTTTGGATAAAGTCATAACTTATCAACACTTTCTCACTTCTTTTTTTCCTTCACCTTTGCTTTTAATTATTATTACCATCTTTGTTGCTGCTGTTGCTGCTTCACACAAGTGTATTATTATTGTTCATGTGTCTTAATTAATCCTTTCATTTTGCACCATTTAGACAGACATGTCTACCTTATTGTTATTTCCCCACCATATGCCTCTTTCTTGTTAATCTTAATAGAGATATCAAAGACTCCAGTCTCATCATAAATTAATTCCACTTCCTCTGGGATACTTAAAAGTTTTAGGTCTCTATAAAAGCATCTGCTATAAATTTACTTCTTTTTCAATTCTGCAGCTTTTATATCATTTTCTAATCAAAACAATAAGAATAAAACTATATCTTAAGGAATACTCCCTGTGCCCATGTTATTTGCATGGCATTCAATTTTAATTTTTCTCATCTTATTACCAGTTCATTATTCAAAGTAACTCTTTCCTCTTTGCTCAGATTGAACTAGCTTGGAGTTGAAAGTGCCTTTAATGATTTTAGAAAGTTTCTTAGATGAATGATGGCAAAATATAGTCCAGCTTTTGGAAATAACACTTCTGCACATAACCCTTTTGAACATGAGCAGATAACGCTGTAGGAAACAGGGATTGTTGTAGCCGGGCAACAACTGCAAAATCATCACATGGTCACGCAGTAAGGTGAATATAAAAAATGCAGGCAGAGGTTCCTTAGAACCTCTAGAGGGGATGTCTTAATATTAGCATTACAAAAATGTCTCTAGCTCCCTGATCTTAAATACATAATTTGTGAATAATATTATGGGTTTGCAGCTGGCAGTCAAGTGTGATATATTGTTAATGCTTTTTTGCAAATGTTAGAATGGATATCTATCAAGACTCTATTGTCTCTGATGGCTTTCATACAGCACAGTCCAAAAAACACTTCAATCTCCTGCTAAACTAGAGGTTTTACTGTTCTGCAGATCATTAGAATTCTTATTACATCTAAATAATAAAAGCCTTTTATTAGGGTCAATTCATAGCTATAGAGTTTGCAATTTTAGGATTTTCTCCATGGATTTGGCTTGTACTCTGGAATCTAAGCTTTCATTTTGGGGGAAAAAATAAGTTAACTTTCCTTAGCTGCCTTGCATAGGAAGACACCTCTGATAACATTTAAATACTGTGCCAGAAAGCCAAGTGTATCACATTCCAATTAGCATTCTCACTCCAAACTCATCTTAATTTTTGTTGGGTGGAAGGAGATTTGGCTATACTGAAGGGTTGCATTTATGAAGTGATTATGAAATTTTCTCCTGTCATTTACTTTTGTGTGGAGTCTCTGGGCCATTTCTGATGTTGCTACTTTAGCGACAGTATATTTAGTGCTTGTCACAGACAGGAGCATTCTGAAATTGTGAGGGAGGAGCCATGATTTATAATGTGCTACAAATTGCTCTCAGCAGTAGAATACAAATTCAAATATGATAGTTGATACCAATCTGCAATGTATTTTGGAGTAATCCCAATTGCTTATGAAAATCCCTTGATGGTTTGGGGATACATTTTGTCTACCAAACAGACATTCTGACTACATTGAGAATTCAGACACAATTTTTAAAATGCAGAAGGGATTTCAGGGTAAATTAGATTTTTGAAATCCCAAGGGTTCAAAATAGAACCATCTTTGCTTTAAGCAACAAGACCCTGTAAAACTCTGCAGATAGGGTGGCTCTGAGAAAAATTCCATTCCTGGTAAATACAATTGGGACTGTCAGTTGAGCACAACTTTAAACGATCTGTACATGTTAGGCATTTTTGTACATGAAGAGAAAATGGTATGTAGCTCATCATTTTTTCCACAATGTCTTTATTGAATAAGAACACCTAGTATGTGCTATGCTATCACACACACACACACACACACACACACACACACACACACAAATCCATTGGCAGCTATTTCTACAATAGCCTAAAAAATGCCAGAGTGAAAATAAGTGTGCACTATGGCTATTAAACCAACAGAGTTATAACATATTTTGATTACTTGTTTAGAATCCAACACATCTATAATGCATTACTTGCTTGGAATTTGAGAATAAATTTATTGTTAACAAATCTCAAGTTCAAGTGCCTGTATCTAACTTGAGGGAAGAAAAGAAGAGCTGATGGGTACAGCTAGCTTAACTAATCAGTATACTGTCACCAGCAGTGAAAAGGAACATTCTCAATGGGCTTGCCTTGAGCCATTATTACCTAAACAAGATGGCCAGTGAAAAGGCATGGGTGGCTGGGAACAAGAAAACAGACTTTTTTGTGGCATTAAACCTGGTTCTTGCCCATTGAAAGACCCAAGAGAACTGCTCAATCCCGGTCTCTAGATCAGGGGTAGGGCAGGATAGGATGATCTGCTCCTCTTCATCATGGTATGGATGGGGAGGAGGACAGTGGATATTCCTCATGTTGTAAGCTAAAACCTTGTATTAGTGAGCTATGGTGTCCGCAGCAAAGTACCATAGACCAGGTGACTCTAACAACAGAAATCTATTCTTTCACAACTGGGGAAGCTTGAAGTCCCAGAACAAGTTGTCAGTAGGGTTAGTTTCTTGTAAGCCCTCTCTCTTTGCCTTGCAGCTGGTCATTTTCTCCTGTCTTCACATGGTCGTCCTTCTTTGTCCAAATGGGTCCTCGTCTCCCGGTCCTGTAATACCAGTTACATTGTATTAGGACTTGCCCTGATGACCTCTTTTTAACTCAAATACCTCTGGAAAGACCCTATCCCACATACTGTCATATTCTGATGCCTCAGGAGTAAGGACTTAAACATATGAATTTGGAAGAGAACATTGTTCATCTCACAGTGAATCTAAATGTTGATTTAATTATGTTTCATCTTTCCTGATCTTCCTTGTCCTTTTGCAATATTTCCTTAAGTATTTTGTCACGTTAGAAATTATCCGTTCTTGATTTGGGAAGAACATGTTAATGAAGCCAATACAAGATGTAACACATCTTGGTCCTAAAATGGCCCTGTTGGTTTCACTTATGCAGTTTTCAGCTACCTTATATTATAAGCTGTGGAGAATTTTCTTATGGTTGAACTTGGTGATGTGCCTGGCTTTAGTGGATAAAATGCAAATGGAAGTGAGATGCACCAGTTCCAAGTAAGCCACTGAGATTCCCCACATGGTTCCATCATGTTCCCCTTTTCTACATAACTTGTGCCCAGTCAGCCTTTGCTGTTATACGCCGCCAAGATTTTGGAGTTGTTACCATAGTCCAGTTTAGCTGCAGCTGAACAATGCATCCTATTCCTGAGCCTCCTACCCATCTGTATCGTTGACCTACTCAGCAATTACTCGAAACTCCACTAGCATGGCCCACATACATCCATCTGCTCATCCTGACCAACAATGCAAGATCTCCTTGACTAAATCAAATACTAATTCCTTTTTTTTTCTTCAATAAGCAATCAATAACAGCTATTTGAAACACTGCAGAAACCTTTACTGTCCAGAGTGAGGTGCAACTTTGCTCTGATTTAAAGAGAGGTGTGTTAATCTGAAGAAAAGATTCTCTGATAACAAGACTGCAAGAAAGTTTTCAGAGGAAGAGGAAGGGTATTCCAGCACTTCCGACATTGCTTTGTGTACTCACCAAATACGTCTACCTGCCACAGTTGGGAGAAAAAATTTCAATACATGAATCGTAGTGATGATACTCAAGCTGCAGTTTGAGCCACGTACTCTTACAGCTACTTACCTCACTTGCAGGTATCACACAAGACTCTTCAGATGGATTATTCCATGTAATCTCAGTTGCTCTGTACAACGGGTGTGACCTTTTATTCCCATATGATAGATGAGTACATTGCTTTTCTGGTTCATATGGCTGCAGAGGGGCAGATACCATGTCCTTAAAACTTACACGGTACGACAATGGCACCGATACACTTTTCATTCTCAGAAACTAGGGGAAGTAAAGCACCACAGTGGATTTTTAAGAGGCTTATTCCTTTTTACTTTGTGATGTCTTTAATTTTTTGATGGTGTTTATGATAAAAGGGAGAACGTGGAGGAAAGTATCCGAATGGTTTAAGTAAGTTTAAAATCCAAAGTTGATCTATTTTTGCTTCAAACACTTAGAAATAATAAATGAGAAAGCAAACATAGCAAAAGGAAAAACAATAGCAAGGCTCAAAAGCAAGTCAGGCATTCTTGTGTATCAAAAAGTAAACAGAAGTTCAGAACAGTAATGAGGAAAGTGCAAGGCTGACCTTGTAACCTCACACACTCTGGTGGGGTCATAAAGCCTGCTCTAAGCAGGTAACGGGGACTAACCACGTTCCGTGCCAGATGGGTATCTAGAGCTAAGTTCAATGCCTGAAGACACAGCTGGAAGATGCTCACCACTGCTCCTGAAAAGAAGCTTTTAAAATGCTGCTGAATGAGGCCTGAGCATTCAGCTGTTAGAAAACCAGGGTCCAGCGGATTAGGAGAAACCATGATTCCCTCCGGCTGTGTAAATGTCAGCATCTAGGCTCAGTACCACCAGAAATACTCTATAATTATAAAATCTTGTTCTTAACTTCGGCACCAGGCCCTGAGTGGACGCAACAGTATAACCTCTAGGTAGGAAGACGGCCCCACACAAGGAGAGAATGTGGGGGAAAAAATCTCCCCACTTAAGACGATCTCGTATTCCGAAATTCCAAAACACGAGGAAAACTAATGCTAACAAAGAGTCATAAATATGTAACTAATTAAATGCACTCCAAAAGAAATCAAATCTAACAAAGACTTTAAAATACACTTGGGCCGGGGATTTAGCTCAGTGGTGCCGCGCCTGCCTCGAAAGCGCAAGGTCATGAATTCGGTCCTCGGCACCGCAAAAATTAATTAATTAATTAATTAATTAATTAATTAAAATAAGTTAAAATAACCATGGTTAAAATAGGCTAATACGAGTTTAAAAAAGGTTGACGTAAAGGCTGACATAGGTTAAAAAGGTTAATATAAAGGAAGCCACAACATCTACAAAAATATAATAATAAATAATGAAAGGAAATCACAAAAATAAAACTTAGTTGCTTATTTAAAATAATTAAATAGTAATTGTGGAAATGAAAAACAAGTGTTATATAAAAAATTAATGGGATAGAGTCTCAACTAGACTGAAGAGAATTAGTACATTTGACCAGATCTAATACGTATCCAAAAGGAGTTCTAGTGAAAGAAAGTTGAAGGAATAAATGCTGAGGATTTTTGAGTTGAAGACAGACATGCTTCCTTACATTAAATGTGTGATTCAAGTCCTGAGCAAGATAAAAAGAATAAGTCCACAGTCCATTTGAAAAAGCAAAATCCAAAACCTGCCAAAAATGACAGATGAATTGCAAAATAATGGCAATTAATCTGGCAACACAACTTTCATTAGCAACAAAACAAGCCAAAAGACAGTGGAAAAATATTTCAAAGTGCTCAGAGTGAAAAACAGTAAATCTCAAATTTTCTATAGCACTAAACTTTTAATTAAGGGAGGGGGAGAAAGGCTTTGTTACACAGCTAAAAATAAGAGTTTACCACACCAAGATGCTAATTGACAGAATTATTCAAGAATATGTGTCAGCAGGAAGAAAAGGGGGCCAGAATGAAGGTGGATGGAGATGTCTTGCACAGCTCACCAATATCCAGTGCCTCTCTCGAAGCAAGATCTCTATTTTCCTGACCCTTCTGGAGTTAAGCTTGGCCTGTAACTTTGGCCTGGGCAATGGGAATAAAAGTGATGTATAATTATTTTCCTTGGCAGCTTTAAGCACCGTCACATCCTCCTGTACCCTGTCCTCTCTGTTCCAGGTACCTACCCTCTTCCAGAGGGAGGCTGCTCCTTCCAGTGATCTTCAGGTGGCAGGAGTTAAACCCAGGCCAATCCGAAGAAGAAGCAACAAACATAACTTTCTTGCAGGAGCCACTGCTTTTAAACTTGTTTGTTACCACAGTGTTCTGGCTATAAAGAACAATAGCACAAAATTAGGGAAACTACAGAAAATGATTTTTAAAATGCTAGGAAATTAAATTAAAAATCAATTAGAAACATGCTAATTTTAATAAACATATAAATCTCTAGGCAACAATAACATGGAATATTTCCCAAGGAGAATTAAAGCATATTCTGAAAGGCAGACAGAATTCCATATAATCTTGAACTTTGTTTAAAGTGTATAGGGATGTATATATGTTTAAAACTTAAGATATGCACCAGTAGAATAGAAAAACAACCTAAAGCTTTCAAAACAAAGGTAGCGAAAGGAAAATAGTGAAAACTTGCCCAATTCAGGTAAAATCAGGACAAAGGGAGAAGAACAAAAGGAGAGAGGGAGGGAGAGAAGAAGAGAAGGAGGGAAGGGAAGGGCGAGAGAGAAGCTAGCTAGCTGGTGGCAATATTAATATCAGACATAATAGAATTAAAGTAAAAAAGCATTAACAGTATTGAATTGGAACATCAATAAGAACCAATTTACTGCAACATAAAACCCATCTCTCCTCAATCCTCTCCAGCCAAGAATTAGTTACTACCTCTCCAAAAACAATCATTTTTGTCAATATCACCGAAGACCTTCACATTTTCAAAAGCTCAAAGTCATTTTTCAATCTTATTCCTGTGCAGCTTCTGTCAACATCTGACAGAAGTGACAATGCCCTCTCTCTAGAAAGCCTTTCTGCACCTTCTTCCCCTGACATGGCCCCTTTGCTCTCCTTCTCTCTCTCACTGGCTGTCCCACCTGTCCCCAGCCTCAGTGGGAGATCACGCTTCAGAAGACTTCCCTTGCTTCCTCAGAACAGCTGGAGTGGTGAAGGGGAGGAGAGGGAGAGGAGAGGTGTGTGGAAATCACTTTAGTTCCCTGTGATGCAAGGCAGAGCAAGAGGTCTGGAAATCCACAAAACCAATACAACAACAATTCATAGACATCATGGGGTTCATATTCTCGAGGAACTTCTTCAATTTACCTCTACCCTCAACTCTTCCAAGCCATTCTCATCTCTCCAAATGGTGACCCCACTCATCCAGTTGCTCAGACAAAAAACTTAGGAACCAATCTTGGCTCCACTGTTGCTCTTCTACCTGACATCCAATTTCTCAGCAAATCCAGTGGCCTAAAATGTGGTTTGTACCAAATCTTATATGTACTATTTTTCCTGCATGCCCTGCAGCTTAGCCACATAGCACCAGAGTTCATCTGTCCTTCCATGTTCTATGCCCTGGTACTTCTTTGCATCTCTATACTTGTAGTTTGGAACTATTAATAAGTAAAATAAGTGTTACTTGGACACAAGCACTATGGTGCTGTGGCAGTCAATTTGCTAAGTGGGCAATAGGCAGACATGTACAGCATGGTGACACTGGGCCAAGGGATGAGGCACACTCCCAGCAGGATGCAGCAGGACAGACTGAGATTTTTATCACGCTACTCAGAACAGCAGGCAATTTAAAACCTAGGAACTGTTTATTTCTAGAATTTCCATTTCATGGTTTTCAACCATGGTTGACTGCGGATAACTGATACCACCAACAGGAAATGTTGGATGAAGAGAGACCGTGGCATAGCCCAGTTCCTCTCACTTCCTGAGCATCACATCATTGCTTCAAACCACCTCCACCCCTTTGCTTGGACTCTTGTTAGCCTCCTCACTGGTCTTCTCTGTCCCTAATGGTCTCACTAGAGTTAGTCCTCCATGCAACCAATTTGAACTTTCCCAAATGAAAGTCATCCCCTGTCATCACGACTTTGCCCTTTTCCAAACACACCCATGCTCCCTCCATGAGACCTTTTCCATAGTCCCTTCCTGGAATGACCTCCCCTTCCCACCACCCCCCACACAGGACTTACTGCCTCACTTTGTTCCAGTCCCCTGGGGGTCACACCAGGAGGCTGCCCTCTCTGACCACACCTGTGGCACAGTTCCCCACCCCACTTGTCCTCCCTTGTTCACCCGGCTTGATCCCCACCACCACCAGCTGGGACACCTGACAGTAGATGCTGTCTGTTTATAATCACTGGGACAAGAGCTCCCTGAAGTAAGGACTTCTCAGTCTTTTCACCTTTTGTTCACAGTATTTACACTAGTGTTGGGCATATCATAAACACTCACAAAATATCTAGCACAAGTCAGGCAGTTAATCCCAAAACCATCCACATGTACCTAAGATCAAGGAGGCATGACATAAGTCTTGACGCCCCTCTAGCAAGTAAGACCTTGAAATAGTTAAGCAAAATGTGAGAGATTTAAAAAGAAACTGATGATCTTCAAGTTTTGCCCTCAGTTATATCAAATGTAATGAATAAGTCAGATCTTAAAATAGTATGAATGTAGATTTAAACATCAATATAATTATGTTTGACCTAAGATATATACAAACTCTATATCCTCCAGAGAGAAAATATATATCCTTTATATGTATACACTGGTAAAAACTAATGATATCCTAAATCAGGAACAATGACCTAAAAAAAATTTCAATGAATATGGGGACCATATTTTCTGACCACAACATAATTAAAATCAAATTCAACAATAAAATCATAATAAGTTAAGAAATATTTGTTTGGAAACCAAAAATTGAATCTGTCAATATGCATGGATTTTAAAAAATTAGAGCAGAAATTAATGAATGATGCAAAAAACTTATGCTATGCATATAAAGTATTAAAGTTCAAAGTATGGCCATCAATGAATTTGTTATGAAACAACTAATATTTTCAACAAATAATTAAGTATACAAATCAAGAAGTTAGAAAAATACCCAGAGAGTTATAATCTAAAATTTCATGAGGAAGGAGAAAATGCAAAAAAAGATATTGATGAAACAGAAATATGTAATAAGGAGGCTCTGTAAAAGTTGGCCTTTGAAAAAATGAAAACTTAGTAAGTTACAAATAAAAAAGATATAACTTCAAAAAGAAAAGGTCAAAATCATTTAAAATACTTTGAATAACTTTATACTACAATAATGAATAATTTTCTATAAAAATATAATTTACCACAGTGGATAAATAGAAAATTAACAAAGTACACATCAAAAAGTAGCAGCCAAATCTCTTCTGTCCACAAGTTCTCCCTACCTGGAAAGAGCATATAGTTTTATAGATGAGATTTAATAAACCTTCAAGAAATTTATAATTCTCATCTTCAGTAAAAACTATTTCAGAAAAAAAAACTATTTCAGTAAAAACTATTTCAGGAAAAAAGTGGGAATACAAACCAATTAAATTTGTGAGATTACTGTACCATACATCCAAAGAGAACAAAGACAGTAGAAGAAAGGGTAGAAAAACAAAACAAAGCAAAACAAAACCATATAGGCTCATTAAAATTAAAAGCTTTTCTACATCAAAGCTACCATAAACAAAATGAAGAAAAATATCCCAGAAAAATAACCTTTTGAAGAAGTTATTTGCATATCTATATAAACAATAGAATACTTATATGAAAACTTAGAAAATCACAAAGGACAAGCATAGGAAAATGGGTAAACTTAGTACCCAAATAATTCACAAAAGAGGAAACCAGAACTGACAAATTCATGAAGAAATGTTCAGTCTCATTAATGATTTTTAAAATGCAGAGTGAAATAACAAGATTTCATTTTCTGCATATTAGCAAACCTAAAAACTTTCCAATAGCTCATATTGAAGAAAGGACGAGAAAGCCCAAGTTTTCTTGCACCATTGATGAGCACATACTGGTTCCCAATGCTGGAGATCAATATGGCAATACTTAGGAAGTATGATGTGGCTGACAACTAAAACCTCCAGTTCTTGGCATATAATCCAAATAAATTCTCTAGAGCCACATGACATGCTCAAGAAGGATCATTGCCGTGGTTTTTTGTTGGAGCAGGAAAAAAAATAGAAACAATTAAATGTGCATTAAGAGAAAATTGGATATCAATTGTAGTATATTCATAGAAAGGGCTTTCTACAGCAACCAAAATAAATGAATTAGAGTTGCAATTATCAATATAGATTAATGTAAAAAATAGTTTAAGAAAAAAGAGGCTCCTTGCAAAATATATAAAATATTTCATCAACATAAAAATTGAAAACATGCAAAATAACATTATTTAATGGTTTTTTGTGGTATGTATATACAGTGATTCTATTAATAATGTAAAAACACTTGTAGGAATCAAAAAGACACATTTAAGATAGAGCTAACACCTGAGAAAGGAAATAGTTTTATTGCATCAAGTGAAAGAGAGTGGATTCAATAGGCTTTAACTCTGTACGTCAGATAGATGACGGATGGATAGATGATAGATAGATACATAGATACATAGATGCATAGATAGATAGTGAATATTTATTTCCTAAAAGTAAGATCTAAAATGAATGAGACAAAAATTTTTTTTTTTTTTTTTTTTTTGGTCCCGGGGATCGAACTCAGGTCCTTGGGTTTGCACAGCAGGCGACGAAAGCACTGAACTAAATCCCCAGCTCTAGACAAAGTGTTAACATTTGTCAGTTTTGTGCTATAAAGATGGGTGTTTTTTATATCACTTATTATCAGTGATTTTGTGTGCAGGAGTCTGAAGTATTTCAGAATTTAAAAAAACACAAAGAAAGTAATTGGCAGGAAAATGGTAAGATAAAGAACTGAAAGGACAGAAGTGGGGAAGGCCAATGAAGCTAGAATGACTAAACAATACTAAGCAATGGAGGGGAGGAAAACGAATCCAAGAAGGTAAAACCAAAAGGAAGAGGAAAAACACAGATTGATGTGCTCTCCAGGTGATGGGGAAATGGACAAAGGAAACAGCCGCTGGCCCACATTGGAGACAAAGCCACATGGATGCCATTTCACTGGTCCTCCAAGGCTGCTCCATCAATTCAGTGGCTTCCTGGGGACAGGGCTGGCTCAGGAGAATGCAGGACTACATGGATCCCAGTTACATCACCTCTGCCCTCCTTGCTCCCAGCAGCTGGATCTCTATTAAGTGGCCATGGCAGGGAGCCAGGGAGGGTAAACTTTGTTTACTTATCTCCACTTAGGAGCAGTCTTGTCCATGATTCTGAAATTTAAATCATGAGAAAGATAGGCTAGCACTCCTAAGACTATTTTTCCCTGGCTTAGTAAATTGCTCTCTGAGCAATATCAACTTTGGGAAGCTATTGACTGGTTAATTCTTAGAAGTAAGGCCATTTTTCCCTCCTCGTATGTCTGTTTTCCCTCTCCCCACTCGGCCACAGAAAGCGTAGTGCTATCTTGGCCTTTTCTTCCTCATCTTTCATGTTCTGTCAGTTACCAAGTTCTCTCTCACATATGTCTCTGCCTCTTGTGTAACAGCCTAATGGATCTCTTATATGTGGGGCTTCGCCCCTAAAGACACCACCACCTGGAAAGAGTTCTTACTCCCTAGGAAGTACTGATACACTAGTATACCCATGTGTAAAGACAGAGCTCAGACTCTCCACTCTGGCCTTCAGTTAAAGCCTGCTACAGTCAGATCCCTTGCTGTTCTGCTCAGTTTATGCGACATTACACACCCACACTGTGCCACCCTGTCATTCTTAGACATCTCCTGCTATTTTCCTTCTTTGAACATTTACTTACAAAATTCCCTCTACTTTCTCTATCCTCATGCTTGCCTGGGATATCCAATCCATCCTTCAACATTTAGCTTCAATACTGTCCCCCACACCTTGGGACCTTCTCTAAGGCAAGCCCCTCTCACCTCAGGACTGGCATGCAAAAAAAAAGACTGGCACGCCACCTTGCTACCCTGCTAGACTATGGACCACAATTCTTTACTGCATTCCAGCCATGCCTAGCACAGTACATTACACATAATAGATGCTCAACAATACTCAAAGGAATGCATATAAACACTCATTTGTATTGTACACTACCTCTAACCACATGTACTTTTATAATCAAAAATTTAATATAGATCCTACTTTAACAGTGAACTTCTCTCACCTAAGTAGTCCCTCAGTGTGGTATTGTGTGAATTAATGGATGAATTAGTAAGTGAATGGATGGATTTCCCAATACTCGCTTTATAATTGAATGAGATACCAAAGGTCACTACCCATCATCATCAGTTGCCCTACATTCATACAAGTATCTTTCCTCAAGATCCTGGGGTATATTTCTAGATTCTGAAAGTAACAGGTAAACTTTAATTTTATTTAGATAATGAACCTAAAGTGGAAAATAGAATTGCAGGAAGATTCTGTATAAAAATGCATTGCACCTTCTGTTGTAACTGATAAAGCTAATCACACAATTGACATTCTTTTTTTTTTTTTTCTTGGTATCAGGGATTGAACTTGGGTCCTTGTGCTTGCAAGGCAGGCAGCAGAACCACTGAGCTAAATCCCCAGCCCTTGACATTCTTCTTCACTGAACCCCCTTACCTGTACATGAGTTGGTTTACTGACAACAGCCCCTAATGAATAGTAGCCATTTGATTTTTTTAAAAATATCATTCAATCACCTTTCTTAAGACTAATACTGTCTTTCTCTACCCATGATGGCCACAAGTTATTAGGTCACAATTTCTTGAAATATTCTTTTACTTATAATTTTTAAATTAATCCAATTATTTCTGACTGTGAACTAAGTATCTTGAACAGCAAAAAAAAGTAATAATGTGTTGCTGTTTCTTAATTTGTTATTGAAGAGTTGGGAAATCTTACACTGGAGGAAATTGATCAGGAAACGGCACATCCTCGGTGCCCTTTACAACACCTGGTCCCAAAGGAGGTGTCATTGTGCTGGACTCCTGGGGCCTCCAGCAGCTTGTTTCTGCCCACATGCTGAGAAAATGACCCCGCGCAAATGGAACTCAATTTTTAAAAACGTCAATCAACCGATATTACTTTCAATGTAATATTTTTACTCACACAGCATTAAAAATATATATGCACTAAACCTTCAGTCAGCTTGAAAAGAAGCTAACAAAGTTTCACTCTATTTCAATAAGAGTGAGTCAATTTAGGGGCCTTTGTTGTGACTAGAGGCAAGGTTTTTCTCTTGGGTTATCACAATACAGTGGGTGTCAATCACAGAACCGTACTCAGAGGACTATGAGAATATCAGATGAGATTTATCACCAGGGTGAATTTTGGCCTGTATTTGTAAATGATTTCCTTAGCTGGGTCATCAATCACAAAGTCATCTGCATGGAGCAGATACTTCATTATTGTTCTATGGGGCTCCAATTAAGTAGGACATGACAAACAGTTATCAAGTTGACAGCTCATCCAAGTGTTCAACAATTACCGGCACCCGTGGCCAGGCACGTGGGTCTGTTTCCTTCTCAGGTGAAGGCAAACTGGAATGAGAGATTTTCCTTCAAATAGGCTTCTGAGCATCAGGCTCTGCAATATGAAGCGTTGTCTCCTTGTAAAACTGTCATAGACTCGGAATTCAGTGTCTCATGTAAAATCCTCAAGAGCTATCATTGATTTTAAATTCCTCTACTCATGCAGATTGTTCACCACTAAGGCAAAAATTCCCCTGCAAAGAGGATGATTGTGTTTTTATTCACTCCCAGAATTCAAGAGAAAACTTAAGCATTACATCAGATTTTAGTCACCAAGTGTAAGTACAGTGCTTAGTAGAAGTACAAATCATTGACTTGATTTTCATATTTATTCACATGTGTTTAATCTCTACCAAACCAAGGGAGCTGAGCCACTCCATTGGAGATATAGGTGCTTTCTCATTTTTGGGGACAGCAATGTAGAGGCATTTAAGCTCCTATTGATTGACTAAGGTGATTTGATTTCCACTAATAACTCACAAGAGCTGTTAGGAAAATTGGATGGTATTTATAATTCTAATTTGTTTGACTCTGTGACTCTAGGAAACAGCATTGTGGTAAATACATTGAAATGTCAGGGTTATCACTTGCCACACAAAGTTTATTTTCCTTTTCCCCCACTGAACAAATGCCAGCAGCATAGCCTGCTGAGCCCAAGCTTGTGTGAATCAGTGATCCAGGCAGCCCTTTGGCAGGGCCAAGTGGCCATTTGGCCCACCCCAGCTTCTGCTGCATAGATTCCCTGGGATGGCCTCCAACTTCAGGGCAGTGGGAGACTTTTCAGTACTGCTGGGCCCTGCATCACCCCGCGCCAGCAGGCTGCTTCCTAAGAAGCTGGCTCATCCAGCCGTTCTGGGAGGGAAACATGAATCCTGTTTTGGCAGCTCTCAGCACCATCTACTCTCTCCCCGGGGCTGAAGAAACTTTTGAAAAGTGCTGGGAGCACTGGTTTGAAATCTCCATCCAGAGCAACTTGGAGGAGAGCTGCTCAGAACACTGCGGTTGTCTTCTCTGGCGAGCTGGGCCAAGGAGCCAGCTGCCCTGCTCTGCACGGCCAGGGCATATGGGGAATATGGCTCCAAAGACAATGTCCAAGGAATGGTGGTTCAGATGTGCTGACAGCTTCCCCAAGCACAGAGCTTCAGCCCTCTGAGTCCAAATCCATCTTCCTCGGAACAGTGATCAGGCTCAGAATTCCCAAGCTGCTATAGGGAGACAGTTATGGTGTCCATCTCTTTTTTTAACTGGGGATTGAACCCAGGGCCTTTGCATTAAGCTATATCCCCAGCCCTTTTTTATTTTGTATTTTGAGAAAGAGTCTTACTAATTCACAAATTTGCCAGGCTGAGTTCCAACTTGAGATCCTCTTGCCTCAGCCTCTCAAGTGGTGGAATTATAGGTGTGTGCCGCTGTACCTGATTCACAGTATGGCTTTTTCAGACTGCATTAGCATTGGCTGGTTTTTTTGTTGTTTTGTTTTTTTTTTTGGTCCCTGGGATCGAACTCTGGTCCTTGTGCTTGCACAGCAGGCGGCAAAACCACTGAGCTAAATCCCCAGCCCAGCATTGGCTTTATTAGGGATTCATGTTATGTCTGTGAGATGCCCATTTTGCAAGAACGAAAGAAAGCTGGTCAGCCAGCCAAGTTGGACAAGTGAGCCAGCATTCCATGGTGCTTTTTCTCCTCAGCCAGAATTCAACTCTTGTGCATTAATTTCTAGGTCTGAAAAAAATTGGGTTTACAATACCATCTTGGCTTAGGTGCAGCTGCATTGTAAAGCATGCATTTTTTTCAAAAAAAATTTATTTATTTACTTTGGTTTTGACTTGGAAGGCTTACTCATTTTCATTAATCTTGTTTTATAATTATAGAAAGCATGTACATAATTAAAAATCAAAATATTGCTCCTGCTACTGTGTCCTTTACTCTCCCGACAGGGTAACTATTTTTATTAGTTATTTATTATTTTTAAGCACAATATATTTATATATTTCTGTCTCACACCTGCTTAGACAGAACATAGGTTATCAGTTATACTCTTCTTCACACTGTTCTTCCCTTCTACCCAGAAAGCTCCTCCAGAGCACTATACAGAGTCTACATGTCTTTTTTGCAGTTGCACAGTACTCCATTTTATCTTTGCACCACAGTTCATTCATCTACACTCTTGTTGGTATCTAGTGGGTCTTTTTATCTTTTGAAATTGCAAGCAGTGAACAGCTCTGTGTATATATGTTCTCATATTCTTGCCAGTTTATCGTTGCTATAGAGAGTGTATAGCCTGAATCTCTTCAGTATCTAATAACAGATATTACACTGCTCAGCCTTTCAGCTATTTATATCACTAAGCAATGGCTTTTGGATGCCCAGCCAGACCATCATCGTCCGTCTTCCTCTTGATAGAGCTAAGTTGCAAAGTTCTATTGCTGGGCCTCCTGTCTTTCAATTTGATATGAATTATGGCATCTAGATAACGCTAGTAAAAATGATCAAGCTACTCAAAGTGGGATCTATAGCTGAACTTTTATTCTCCACCTTAGCAGCTTGCTCTAGAATGTGTACTCATAGAAGGGCCACATCCTCTTACCCATTCCAGAAGCATGTTGAGTTTCTTGACGCTATTCTGCATTGTTCTTTTCTCTATCAGTAAACCAGTGATCAACCTAAAATCAAGACAGAAAGCTTTCAGCTGCATATTCATTTGCTCTGGTTCTAAAAGAAGAGAAACATAAAACTGTCCCTTCTCATAGCAAAAGTTGTTCTAAAGAATCATCCAAAGCCTTCTGTATGATGAGTCAATGTTGGCTATGTAACTATACCCCCAATATGATGTTTACAGTATCTCTACTAGCTCATTTAGTGCACAATCATCTATGGATGTGATATAAAGACATTTAAGGTAGAGAGGTAATTAATATAAAGTTTCTAAAAAGTAATTAATATAATTAATTTATAATTATATTTATATTATAATTAATTAATATAAAGTTTCTTTAAAATACCTTACTGTCCTAGAGGAGACAGCACAAAACCCAAAGTGATCATATAATAGTTAAATGCTTTTAGAGAACAATGCACATAATGTTGTTTATTGCTTTCTACATGACCATATACTGCTTCTATGGTATAAAAATACATTTTTCTTACTTTAAAAAGTCTTCAGATTTAAACATGTCTTTCATGCACAAGCACTGATTGTTAGGAACTCCCAAACTGGGCTTCTAAAATCTGTAAGCCCTGGCTCACTTATCCCTGGCTTTCCTCTTGGATAGAAATGCTCTTCCCCTGTGACATTTGCAACCCTTAGCACTTGCATCTTCTCATAGTCAAGGAAAAGCAAAAATAAATGCTCATGACTGAAAGGGAGATTTACAAGGCATGATCAAAATATATGGCAGATGTTTAAATTTTTAAAAATGTATACAGTAAAAGACACATTGCCATTAATCCCCTTCAAAATAGTTCACCTCAGTTCAAACACACTATCCCCTCATTCTTGCTACTTTCTGAAGCAGTTCTGGAAATCCTCTTTCTTGCCTTTATGAAGTGTGATAATAAAAAAAAAATACTGTGAACGCTTCTGCTTAGTGCTGTCCAAAGAAAAAGCAGGCTCATAAAAACATTACAGTGTGTCCTCATCCACCTTATTCACTGGATTTGACACCGTGAGACTTCTGCCTCTTCCCCAAAATCAAACTGGCCACGAAAAGTTAATGTTTTAAATCATTTCAGGTCATCAAGGTAGCCTCAACAGCACGACTAAAGACACTCACTAAAGAGGACTTTCAGAACTTCTTCACAAAGTGGCAAGAAGAGTAGAATAAATGTGTTCAATGCAAAGGGGAGGATTTTGAGGAAAATTAATGGCATGGTGACTTATACCGTAGTAAATTTTTAAAATTTAAACATTGACTGCATTTTTCAATCACACCTCATACATGATGATCACTAGACACATGGATCCCTGTGACTACATGCTTCAGACAAGTACTCTTGCCACCTAATCACACCAATGCATGAACTTTGGAAGATGCTGTGGACTCCTTCTAAGCCCTACAGTCTCTCATTTACTGAGGATTGTGTAGGCCATGCTCTTGGCTAAGCAGCTGAGGGAGTTGAGAAGCTCATTTAACATCGAAGTATAATCAAGTCATCAGAGGGGAACTCTGCCACAGACTTCCACCAGAAAATGATTCTTTTATTAAAGACAGTTTGGTGTTTAAAAATCCAAGTACAATAGGACCATTTGGGGGTAGTGGATAGACCCAAGATGGCACCTTCAACTCTTACATCATTGGTTATCTCATCCTCTAATATTGCCCCAGGATTATGATAACGGTTCCAGATATACTTCACTTTTATATATTTTTAGCAAAAACTAAACTCTAGCATATGTCCTACAAGACTTAATATATCATAAGTTGTTTTTCTTCTCAAGAGAATATTCTTTGGCACAGATGTTGAGAAAAGTATAAGTTATAGAGCTTGATTTGAGACTTGTAATGTGGAAAAGCTCCAGAGAATGAAGTATTATGATATAAGTTAAATCACATGAAACTGGATTCACTTCTGGAATCAGCCCCATTAAAATGGAATTACATGGGTTCTTATTCAGCAAGTTTTTCCATCAAGATAAACAGGAATAAAACTTTCATCAATAACAATGTCCCACAACCGCAGCTACGAAGATCATTATCCAACCTTAACTCCTCAGTCAATTTCAAAATCTGTCTCAGAATGCACAGTGCCTTCCTTCTACCAGATTAGACATGGCTTTCTTGGCATGTCGTAATGTCTTCTAACTACTATTTACTCCTCAGATACAAGGAAACATTCAAGCACATTTTCTTCTTTTCTGAGTCAAAATACATAAATACCTCTTCTTCTTCCCCAATAGCTGTTCTCAGCATTATTTTAATTCAAATTAGAATCATACTTCCATTATTATGCATCAACGATATGCAATCAAATGTGTATTTTAATTTTATTTTACATAAGCCCCTTCAGACCACAAATTTTAATGGATCCATGACTATAAAACCCCCAGTTTGTAGCATTCCCTGCCCTGGTACCTCCAGAGAGTGTTATTAAATTCTATTAACAACCCTAACAGATATGCCCAAGTGCAAAGTCTGGTTTGGCTGTACTCTCATTCACTCTATTTATCAACAGATGTTTGTCGAATCCCTACTGTTTTCCAGCACCGTGCTAGGCACTGGGGATGAATAAGACACAGCCACTGACCTCAAGAAATGCTTGTCTATTGCAGAAGGGAGAGAAGTAAATAATCAATTATAAAACAGCAAGACTACTGTTTGTACGGGGACTAACAGAGGTGAGAAGAGAGGGTGCCTAGAATGTGTGAGGTGTCGTGAAGTGTTTCATAGAGAATATTAAATTTGATATTAAAACTACGTTAAAAATGTGAGGGGTTATTGAGAAAGGGCTTTCTGGCAGAAGTCTCCATGTGTATATGTTAAAAATCTGGAAAGAACATATCGTGTTTGGGAAAGTTAAGTGGTTCCGAGTGCTGGAGCCTCAGGTTCATGAAAGGAAGGGCTGGGAACTGTGGTCACAAACACAGGCAAAGCACAGATCATGAGGGATCCAGAGGAGTGACTCTGTATTAGTCATTTACCCACTACTGTGGCAAGATAAAGGACATCTGCAATTTAAAGGAAGAGAGGTTTATTTCAGCTCGCAGGTTTCAGAAGACTCACTGGCTCCAAGGCAAAAACAGCACTGCGGAAAGGCCTGGTAGAGGACAGTACCCAACCGGTTCATAGCAGCCAGGAAGCAAAGGGAGAAGGGAGGACCCGGAGGAAAAAAAAAAACCCTCCAAAGGCACAGTAACAGTAACACACTTTTCCCAAACAGGCCTCACCTCCTAAGAGCACATTTAGCCATGAATTCATCAATGGGTCAATCCATGGAGGAGTATAAGACCCTTACAATCCAATCACCTTCCAAAAAGCCTGACCTCTGAACACATGGAACTCTGGAGAACATTCTAGACCTAAACCACAACAGACTCCCAGAGCAGCCTCTAAAGGTTTTAAGTAGGGCACCTGTGAAGATCTGATTTACATATTGATAAACGAATTCCTAAGGCAACTGGGGCTGGGCTGGACTCCACTGAAGGGGAACAAGGCTGGTGGCAGAGAGAGAGCGCAATTGGGCATCTCTGCAGCAGTTCTGACTGAGTTAATGAGAATATGTCTCAGCCAAGCATTGCAGAGCAGGCAAGGCTCCCAACAGACTTGAGAAGATAGAAAGGGCAAGGTTCACTGGCTTCGAGAAGGACAGAAGGAGAGAGGAAAGGAATGGAGGTGACTCCCAGATTTCTTGATGGAGCTTGAGCTGTTGTTTGGAGGTTCTGTCCAGGAAATGCTGTCACTTATGATTCTTGATGGGAAAATATCCCTGTCAACCCAGGAAGCTCATCTTTTAAGCCAATCCACTTGGGGAACAGAAAAAGAAATGAAAGAACACTGGACAGAGGATGTCCAACCATCAAGCCAAGTGCATCACTCTCACCCTCAACAGGGTAGTTAATCGTGCCATTAATTAACATAATGCATTAAGAGAAGGAGGAGACTTGGAAGAGAAAGAGCACTGGCTGTCATGAATTCCAGTTTGGATAAATTGAGAATGATGAGTCTTCTATGTTCTACAAGAAGCTGGTTAAAGAAATCTAGGCCAAGGGCCAGGGATTTAGCTCAGTGGTTCCGCTGCTTGCCTTGCAAGTGCAAGGACCAGAGTTCAATTCCCTGTACCAAAAAAAAAGAAAGAAAGAAATCTAGGCCTAGGGGGAAAATTAGAGGGTAAGACTTGGTGAGACATCAGAAAAGCCACAAACTAGGCCAAAAGTACTCATTGATATAGACTAGTAGTATATCCTGTTTGATCTAAATCAAATTCCTCAAACATATTCATTCACTCAAAGAGTAACTGAGAACCTCCCAACATGGAGCATACCATGAGAGAGAAGCTTGAAGGAGAACTGCCAATAAGACATTATTCAGTCTGGAGACATGGATGTCACACTTGGGGATTCTGTCATCAAATTGGTTGCATGATATATTATTTAATTATATTCAGGATTAGGACCACCAACAAGAGGTATAGAAGTTTTACTGCCCAAACAAAAATAGTTCAAAAACAAATTAGAGGGTTTCATGTAAGAATCTCTGGAAAACTATGAGCTAAATTTTAAAGATGAATTAAAGAGGCAAGGAGAGGAAAAGAACGTTCCAGATAGAAGAAATAACATGTGCAAAGAGTCAGAAGCAGAAAGGATGATAAAATACTCCAAAATATTCTGCCAGTAGGATAAGCAGAAAGATGTGTAAGTAAACCAAGTTATTAAATACTCTCTTTGAGCAATTATTAAGTAGTATGATGACAATATAGAAATACAGAATCCATACCATATGAGACTTTTAGGCATCTTATGTAGTATTGGTGGGGAAAAAACAAAAAACACAAATACAGTCTGGACACAGAAAAACTTAATACAAGAATAAGTTCAGAGAATATCACTGAATCCCCTCCAGCTCTGTAAAAACCCATTCTTCATAGAAAAGTTGGGAATCAACCAGTGAGATAGACTTCAACATCATAGCTAGATGACAATATAATTTACTACCGAAAAATGTTATTTTATAAGCACTTAATTACAAAATGTCCTCAAAGCACTCATGGTTTAAAAATGGAAAAGATGAACAATATTTTCCTATTCAGATCCAGCAGAAAGGTATGTATTCACTCCAAGCCTCTGGCCTCCTCATTCCCCTTTGCTATCAATACCCAACTTCTAGTGGGCCCTGGTTATGCCATACATAAGCTGTGGCCTAGAGTCACTTTACTCCCATCAAAATCAAGTCCCAAGGTAAGAATTACATAATGCCAACTAGGATAATTATGAATAACAGCAACAAACATGTCCATCTCTCTCACTTCCAGAGTATTTTGGGCTTTCTTCCTGAATAATTGCTCAAGTGTCAGCTGACCTATGTACTTTTAACCCACTCTAGCCAAAAGGGATGGCAGTTACACATCTAGTAGAAGCTTACACACTGTTGAGGGCATTCAAAATTGTTTTATGGATGAGCCAAAATGTTCTCTGAGAAAATGTGTCTTGCACTACGGTTTCTGGAAATTTCATGAGACCTTTTGTTTCACCTAGTGGTTCACAAAGAACATTGCTTTAGCATCTCTGCCTCCCCATGATTTCACACATAATGGCTCCAGCTCTGTCCCACACAGCACAGTCTGATTACACTGACCCACTAAGGTCCACTAAGAGTTTCCAACAGATCTGGTTCCATTGAGTCACAGGCCCAGAAGAGAGAAGCACACCAGCCTTTTGAATCAAAACCAAAATCCAGAGCTTCTCCACAATATTGTAAAAGCAAGACCATTGCATTTGTGAAAAAAAAGAGTCTATTGTAATGGGATCATTAAGATCAATCCTAAAGTATATTCACAAGTATCATGACAGCGTTGTGGATACTAATTGCTATCTAAAAACACCACTCCAGTCTAAGTGCTAGTATCAGACAAGGGTGCATTCTGTCAAATGTTATTTGGCCCATAATTGAAACAGGCATTAAAAATTTATTGAAAGGGATACTAGAAACACCAAAAAGGACAAAAGGTATGTTTAAAGCTCCAACCATTGTGAGTGGTGCCACACCAAGTGACAAGCACCAGGGGTCTACACAGGAGAGAATGGATTTGAAGGCAATAGTTCAGACAGGTTTGTTGTTTTTTTTTTTCCCACATGAATACCAAGGCCAGGGCTGACTGATTTGAAGCTCTGTCAACAACACTGTAATGAAGTACTGATTGTCCTACACCTAAGAAATCTACCTACGGATCTACATCTTATGAATATTTGATGTAGCTACAAATTTGAAAGAAAAAATCACCAGTCTCTGAATTATTTAATTGTTTTTGCCAAAGTCTTAAATTATTTTTCCTGTAATAAAATAAAATGTATTAGGCTGGAAACAAGAATCCAAAGAGGCACATACCAAGTTGAGCCCTAACGGCTGAGATTCCAGCTGCGCTGATTTTCTTTATGACATAAGTGCTCTGCTTGGCGGATAGCAGCGGAGACTTGGGTCAATACTGTCATTCCGCCTGCCAGCGCCTTCGACTTCATGCATTCTCCCTTGAATTAACTTGACCACAGGCTATTTCTTGTAGGACATAATGAAGAAATTGGCCAAAGTTCCTGCAAGAGATATAACATTGACATGAATTCTTTAAAACACATAAACAAGTCTTGAAGACTAGAAAGGTCAGGCAAAAGAAGCAAATTTCCTTTCCTTAATGTTTATGGGAAGAAAATAATTCATATCTGGGAAGTGAAATAGGAATAGCAGCAATAGGTCAGCCACAGAGGTCACTTTGTGACCATAGGGACCAGGCAGATGACCAAGTATTGGGAAGGACTGTGGGGAGATGCTATACATGCCATGCTCTGTGTATATGCATGTTTGTGTACACATGTGAACATGTATGTGCATCTGCTGAAACAATGGTGTTAAAGCATTATAATTAAAGAACTTGTTATGTTATGAAAGTTCACAGAAATATAGAGGCTTTAACACTGGAGGAAGATAGGACCAAAAATGTTAAAATTCAGCACATATGCCAGTGGCAGTTTAAGGGAACACTGAGAAGAAAAATCCTCAGATAACTGTAAAATTCATCATGATACTCAAAGATATGGATGCTACACAAGGTGGATCCTACAATGGACTCCATGAACAATCTCCTGGTGTTGGAGCCCTGTATCACCTCTCTAACTTGAGAGCAACTGGTGAGACCCTGAACCAGGGGATCCAGGCAAGCTGTGCCAGACTCGACCCATAGAAACTGTAACATAACAAATCTATGTTGTTGTGAGTGGCCAACTTTGTGGTATTATTACATAACAGTGAATAACTAATATAGAGGCCAAGGGCTTTGATGAGGTTCTTTCATTCCTAAAGGCTGCTTCTTTACACTGCATACTCACCAAGTACATGTACTAAAAAACAGATCTAAAGGAAATTCTAAGAATCAAATTTAGTAGCAATCAATATTCTGTGGAACATGAAAGATAATTGATATGGGCCAGTGAATGCAAGTAATTAGCCTGTGAGGGCTTAGAAGGACCCTTGGAGTGAGATCCAGGCTCAAGTTCCACCTTTGCTCTTCCATAGCTGAGACAACATACTGAGCCTCAATGACTCATTTGAACCACTGAGACAATCAACCCAACCCTGAACTATGCCAAGAGAAAGAACAATATCATAACACTGGCCAGACAGTAGGCACTCAATTAATATTAATTTTCTTCTCTTTATGCCAAAAGATTAGTGTATTTTATCATGATTTGGTGTTAGACTTTGTCAAATGCTTTTTCTGCATCTATTGAGATGATGTGATTTTTGTCTTTGGCTCTGTTGATACAGTGTATTACATTTATTGATTTCCATATGTTGAACTATCCCTTCATCCCTGGGATGACTCCTACTTGGTCATGGTGTATAATCTTTTTGATGATTTGCTGCATTCTGTTTTCCAGTATCTTGTTGAGGATTTTTGCATCTATGTTCACTAGGGAAATTGGCCTATAGTTCTTTTTTTTGGTTGGGTCTTTCACTGGTTTTGGTGTCCAGGTAATATGTGCTTCCAGGAATGATTTTGGGAGTATTGCTTGCCTTTCAATCATGGAAGAGTTTGAAGAGTAGTGGCATTAGATCTTCTCTAAATTTCTTTCTTTTCTTTTTTTTTTTTTTT